CTTCTTTTAACTTTCTTTTTACAGTCTTTCATATCAATGTTCTCTTTTAAAAATAAAGTTTAAACCATATTGTGATGACTAATGAATTGCTGTATCATATGTTTTAATCATAATAGAAAAATTATACTAATTATAAAAATGGAGAGTTGTCATTGATGTGATATGATCATATAATATGCTCTTGCTGTAAAGACTTTCTACTACTAGTTTCAAATACAGTTTATATAAAAATACTGTCATCATTACATTAATTTGTATGATTTATGTTTTATTCTTCTTAGAGGCTATATATATATAGAGAGAATTTAATATTATTAAATCTTTATTGAATGATGTATGTTATCAAAACAGTAAATGAAATTTCCTATTCAATATCTATTCTGATTACTTTAATCTTCAAATCTTCATCTTTACTTTTTTATTTCTGAACATTTGTAGCTTATCGCAATTTAAATTTGTTTAAAAACTTGTTTCCATAATTTGTAAATTTCCAAAATGTCTTGTACAATTCCAGATTCTGCACAATGCAGATTGAATATTGCTGATTCAGGCAAACTTAATTTTCAGTTCATTCTTGTTATCATTCCAGATTAGAATATTGTTTAAGTTAAGATCTTCATTTTAAAATTGGATCATTATATTGCATTAAAACTAGATTACAGACTTCCAAGCCACCATATTTAATACAAAGTAATTTGCTACTAGAAGTAGACGTTAGGCATCATCTCTTAACTAAATTAATAATAATAATTTAGTTAAGAGATGGCACCTAACATCTACTTCTAGTAACAAATTACTTTGTATTAATTATTTAAAAGTAGTGGAATTATAGCCCAATTATTTAGGCGATTGTTTGGTGATGTTTCAATTGAATTAGCCTCTTCAAATGTTCTCTGTGTTTTATTATTAAGTGTTAATGTGTAATTCTAAGTCTGAAAATACTCTTTAAGAAACAAACTAGTGGAAAATAATTTTTTTTTGTTTTAAAGTTTCAAAAATTAAAATATAAAGTTTATTCCTCTACATCATTTTTAAGTTCCAGTTATATTTTTAAAAATTGAATGCTGGATTCATCTTACTTTTAAAATCTTTTCAACAAATGATCTAATGAGGAGATTTGGCTTTGGAAACATCTTATTCTTTTCTATGGGTTTTCATGGTTTTTAAAGTAAAATTAACCCAGAGTTGTAAAGAATATGTCTCAATGTTAACATAGTCAACTTTAACATTATTAAATTGTCTAATAATGTCATTTAAATTGATAAAACATAAATAACTGGATGAAACAGTAAAAATAATTGAATAAACCTTCAAAATTCTAGCATTAGTTTTCAATAAATAAATAATGAACTTCCTATCTACCACTGGAGGAAATATAATTCTCTCTACTTGAACATAAACCTTCTAACTCCCCAGTATTACTCTTTTTGGCAAACGTTTTTGACCCTATCAGGGTCTTCTTCAGGCTACCGTTTTAATAAAATTCAAATATTGCAAAATCGAACAGTAATGGATTAAATGCGATTCAAATCCTAGAATGTCAACGTTTATATCAAAAATATAGAACACCACGTTCTTTCTCGATGACATTAAAGCTTGCGTAAATTGCGCTTGTAATAAACGACATTGCACTCAATTATGTGTGGGGTGTTTCTTCATAACAAAATTTCCATGCTTTAGAGATATTAACTGCGTCTTTGGAGTTAATACATGTGTTGTTTAATCCTGCTTTATAAATCTCTAAGGTCTCCATAATTCTTAGTTGGTCCGTACGCTGTGATAGTCTTACCATACGGGCATTCTGTAGATCCACCCTTATTCCAGGTTCTGTGGCCACGGTTGAAAGGGTGGTGGTGTGTTTATTATTATCTATATCATATTTATGCTCCTGGAGACGTTTGCGAAGGGAGCGTTTGGTTGATCCCACATATACCAACTTATTATTAAATCTGTCATCCCAAATGGGTATAGAATATACTCCCGGTGCGCATTTCAAGTCTAGCGTATCCTTCCCATTGCGTANTAATCTAGTGCACACTCCAATTTTCAAAACATGGTGACAAAAATCTGTTTGCTGGCAATTGTAATGCACACTTGCACTAAATACTGATGTTGCAAAAGTAATCCTAAGAAAATAATACCAAGAAATTTAGTGAAAGTAGGAAATAAAAAAAAACCATACAGAGGATGTGAAAACAAGCAAAAATGGACACAAAGCATGGAGAAAAAAAAGGGAATTGGAAAGGTTCTAGCAATGATAGTGCATGGAAAAGCTACATGTGAAGTTTTCAAGTTTATACTTGAATCTAATGAGCTTTGGTTGCAAATCACACTGTAACTTTGGAGATAGAACTCAGCCAAAAAGACTGTATTAGATTCAAGTAATATATATGGTGTTTCAAAAGTGTTTGGATACATTTCACAGGCTTATAGATGAAAGTCCAAATTTAAAAAAGTTGATAACTATGTTTTAATCTTAATAACTCACTAATTATAATAGAGAGGTTGCGGCCAAAGTTTCAATCGCAAAAATGTGAACGTCCAATGTTTAGCGCGGCCATCCTATAAGCCTAGAGTTTGACAATGGTGTTTGGCACATTGAGCATGATTCCAATGACATTCCAAATGTCATTGTCAAACTCTAGGCTTATAGGATGGTAGTGCTGAACATCTGACGTTCACATTTTTGCAATAAAAACTTCAGCCGCAACCTCTCTAATGAGTTATTAATCATCAAAGTGTAATGATGTCACTTTGGTTTTTTAAGTCTAACAGTATAACATATCAGCAATACCTTTCCATCTGTAAAACATCTACATGCACATTCTTGAGAAAATAGATTAATATAAACACAACAATTAACACCTAAATGCTAATTCCAGCACCAAATGAACAAAAAATTTTAATGCGCGAAGGTTTTTGGCCGTCTTTTAGAGGCCCTCCTCAGGAATGTATAAAACACATAGAAAAAACAGTTCTATCATTTGAAAACTTCTTGACGTTTTCAAATGATAGAACTGTTTTTTCTGTGAAGAAGGAAAAACCAACCGATTTGGTGGTTTATGCAGTGTAATAGTTCTTTCAAGAAGGGTTGATCTCTTGGGCTGCAGTCAAGATTGTCTTCGCATGAGTTGGTTGATGTAAAATCGGCAAGTTGATCTGTCAGTCATTTCCACTTTGTGTACAATGTTTCTGGCTTTGTGATTGATTGTTCTTGACTGTTCTTGAATTTTGAGAGCATTGATGTTGTGCAAAGATCAACTCTTTAGTTGTAAAATTTCATTCCTGGGCTCCATGCTTGCAGTTGAATTGCCTCTCCATTTTGATGTTGTGCTCTGTTGGATACTTTAATGACAACAATAGGTTGATAGATGTTTAAATCTTGCATCTAAAGAGTTTGGCTGGAGAGTCAAATTTGGATTTTTCTCCAGATGTATGTCCAAAGTGTGTTTTGTTTCCCTCCCCTTTTAACTTGAGGAGTGCTTATTTCAGTGTGTTGATGAATCATTCCGTTTGCCTGTTGGATTGTGGACGATAGTGCAGAAAAAAAATGTGCTTGATCCCATGTTGGTCATAGAATCTTTTAAATTTGTATGAGCTGAACTGCGTTCCATTATCATTAAAAAGAACTTCTGGCAGTCCACGATGAATAAGGAGATTCTGCAGCATGCTGATCATTGCTAAAGACGTAGTTTTATCCATGCTGATGATTTCTGAATATAAATAACAACAACTCAAAGCCCGAATAGTATATATACTAAATTGCCAAACGATCACCTAAATATCAGGTTATTATACTGCCAGCGTAACTGGCAAGCGCACCGCACGGCAAGCGGAGGTTACGGGTTCATGCCCCATCCCGGGCCAGTTCTTTTATTCCAGAATGTTCTAAATTTATTTATTTAATTATTATTTATTTAATTATTAATTTAATTAAGAGATGGCGCCTAACGCCTACCTCTAATGTTAAATTACTTAGTTCCAATCATTTAAAATAGCCATATTATAGCCCGATAAATTAGGCGATCGTTTGGTGTTGTTATTATCTACTCGGGCTGTGAGTTGATGTTTATATATATGTTATTTTCATAGTTTTTCAGCGCTATTTTCATTTATTTTTGTTATTTGACGCTATTTAGACGAATAAGCAAGTTTTCCGAAGCATAAAATTGAAGATTTCCCGCCAAAATAGAAACTTCCTAATAACATCGGAAATGACGTTCTAACATCATTTTATTCTATTTGATTCTTCGAAAAATAGTTATAATACTATGTATTAGACTTAGAATATTCGATATCTAAACCAGAAAGTGTTAGCTACAAATAGACTTATTTATAGAACCCCCCCATTTCTCACTTCAGGGAGTTATAAAACAGTTGGGTGCTAATGACTTTATGAAAGGGAAAAGTTCTACACTTAGAAACTTCGAAAGAAGGGATTTGGCCTGTACCGTCCGCGGGCCGCATAAACATTGATAAGGGGCCGTATGTGGCCCGCGGGCCGCAGGTTGTGCACCCCTGGATTACTTAACAAAATGTACTGTCTAAATGAAAATGCTTGCCAGGAATTTGAGGTTTGTTAATTGATTTTCAGAAGAAACATTTTTGTAGAATATGTATAGAGTGAAATTTTCTTTGCAGCATTGAATTCAATAAACCTCCAGGATTGTAAGAGAGTGTTGTCAAAGTTAGAATCACTTTGTTTCAGGAAACCACATACCACGATTCATAAAACACATTAAATAGTCAGACTGAAAAGAATCATTTGGCACATTTTTGTAAATTTGAAAGAATTTTTTGACAATGGGCAAAGTCTGAAAGCATTTAAAATAAATTTTTTTCTCCCTTGTTCATTTAAGCATTATGATAATTGGATAATAGTTAATATGAGTTTTTAACTGTAATTCTGAATTATATGTTTACGGAATACAGAATTTTATATGATAAGAATCCTGAAAGATGAATGAATATTAAATTAATTAATTTTATTTTTTATTTAGATGGCTGCAGGCCAAGATCAAAAATGGCAGAAAGATGCTGCAGATCAAAACTTCGATTATATGTTCAAGATACTTATAATTGGTAACAGTAGTGTAGGAAAAACATCATTTCTCTTCAGATATGCTGATGATTCATTTACTTCGGCATTTGTTAGTACTGTTGGAATAGATTTTAAAGTGAAGACAGTGTTTAGACAGGATAAGAGAGTAAAACTTCAGATATGGGTAAGAATAATGATTTATGTTATTTGTTCTTCTTGTAAACCCAGTTTGATTTGTTGTTATTTTTAATTTTGTAATGTTTTTTTGCTATGCTACTGATTTGTTTCATTAAATTTAATTGGGCGTATATTTAATCAAAATGTATGCCCATAGACCAAGGCTGCCCAAACCCAGGCCCATGGGCCACAAAGTGGCCCGCCAACACATGAATTTGCCCGTCCACAGTAGCGGTCGGCTGTCACCATGCGCAATGTTGTGCTACCAATAATGCCAATCGCCACATGATTGGTCGAACATGGAATAAACTATGACTTGAGTTACTGCCACACTGCTGTTAAGACCTAACCTACGCGTTTATTACACTTGTTCTATTAGTTTTGAGTCGACTTTTGTGTATTAAATTAAATTGTTGTCACCAAATATTGAAAAATTATTAGCTAATAAGCTCCTTCATAGGTCTCATTGATGTATTTTTTTTATTAAGTATTATTAAAACATGTGCAACTTGAAACTTTGTTTGATTCAAATACCTATCCATTTATAGAAGAATCATGAGTATAAGCAAGTATGACTCACTAGGTGGCCTGCCGGTTGACATGTAATTGAAATTATAGCCCACCTCCAAAATGAATTGGGCAGCCCTGCCATAGACAATCAATCAATAAAATGAGATAGTTAAGTAGCATAGGAATGATGAAACAGTATAAAAATATAAAATTTATAGACTTCTTAATTGAAATATATGTGAGATTAGCAGTGGGCCACTGGGCTCACTCATCCCAAATGACCACTTACTCTGTAACAGGTTGGTAAAACCCGTTCTCGGCTTGTCGAATGGCTAGGAGGGCAAAAATTTGAGTGGGGAGTGCGTTGGTAAGTCTGCAGGTGTCCTTCAGAGACAGGAGACAGGTTTAAAAACTAAACAAGCATTTATTTATATAACTAAGCTAGGATACATAGGTTAAATGCGATTAAATAAGTTCACTATACAAAAGGGACACTCTAATAGCTTTACCTCTTAGTCTNAACCATGTATACATACAAGTAGTAATTTTTTTTTTTTTTTTCATTTAGTGACTTTTTTGTTTATATTTTAATTTATACTATTTCCATATTTTGAGTTGAAATACTGTCATGAACATATAATTTTATATTTGGATTATGGATATAAATTTATATCAATATATCTAGAGGGTTTTCCCTTTATTTTAAATTAAACTAGTATTACCTGTGCTGTGTTGTTCATTAATTTTGTGTATATTGACACTTCACAGCTTGTAGCATAATCACTGAGTGAACTTCATTACATCAAAAACATTCAAATAATATTATTAAAAAATGCTGTTCATATGCATCATCATAAATTATATCTAAACTGTAGATATTTGAATTTAATTGTTTGAAGTATTTAATATAATTTTCTTACAATTCAAACTCCAAAAATGTATAAGAGATCTGAGAATAAAGCATTAATCCCGTTAAGTGAATTTTGACTTCTTCAATACAGTAGTTGTGTTTGTTTAATTTCTTTGAAATGACCTAATAGCTTTATATTTTTCTGTGTAGACTTTTTTTTTTGATGCTATGTTTTTAAATAACAAAGCTTCGCATTCAATATTGATTTTTCTCTTCAGAAAGTTTTTTTTTTATTATAAATTCTATTTTAAACTTAACATTACTATTTTTAACTAAAAACAGATAATTTCAATAGTTTTCTTCTTTATAATTATTTTTCTTGGAAGAAGTTATCTTTTAAGTTTCATGAGAAATATGGAACTTAATCTTCTATACATCTTATAACATTCTTTTCTCATCTATATAAATCTATTTTGTTATTAAATAAAAGAAGACTTTCAAATCCTTTCAAGCAGAATAAATTCACTGTTCGTTTAATAGCATGCTTTATCAATTAAAAAACGTAACATCATGTTATATTTTTAGAAAATCTGGAAAACTATTGTTAAAGAGTCATGTTTAATTTATTAAACTTGTTAAATTAAATACAAGTGCATGAGAATAAAAGCACAAGAGAAACAAAATATTACATAACCTTACTTAATGGAAGGTCACTGCCATAAAAGGAGAGGGGAAAAAAAACTTATTGTGGCTAATAATAAGATTATATAACCGTACTTGATGGAAGGTCACTGCCATAGAGAGTAAAAAAAGGTCGGTGGCTAACAGTTCCCTAAGGAATAATTACTGCAGCAACCTTTTATTATGTACTACAAGTAATTGAAATATAATACATATATTACATTACACTTTGAAATTGTTGATAAATGTAATATTTATCATTGTAAATTAAATCAACTCTCTAGGTTTAGTATTGTAAACTTTTCTTCTTTTAACTTTCTTTTTACAGTCTTTCATATCAATGTTCTCTTTTAAAAATAAAGTTTAAACCATATTGTGATGACTAATGAATTGCTGTATCATATGTTTTAATCATAATAGAAAAATTATACTAATTATAAAAATGGAGAGTTGTCATTGATGTGATATGATCATATAATATGCTCTTGCTGTAAAGACTTTCTACTACTAGTTTCAAATACAGTTTATATAAAAATACTGTCATCATTACATTAATTTGTATGATTTATGTTTTATTCTTCTTAGAGGCTATATATATATAGAGAGAATTTAATATTATTAAATCTTTATTGAATGATGTATGTTATCAAAACAGTAAATGAAATTTCCTATTCAATATCTATTCTGATTACTTTAATCTTCAAATCTTCATCTTTACTTTTTTATTTCTGAACATTTGTAGCTTATCGCAATTTAAATTTGTTTAAAAACTTGTTTCCATAATTTGTAAATTTCCAAAATGTCTTGTACAATTCCAGATTCTGCACAATGCAGATTGAATATTGCTGATTCAGGCAAACTTAATTTTCAGTTCATTCTTGTTATCATTCCAGATTAGAATATTGTTTAAGTTAAGATCTTCATTTTAAAATTGGATCATTATATTGCATTAAAACTAGATTACAGACTTCCAAGCCACCATATTTAATACAAAGTAATTTGCTACTAGAAGTAGACGTTAGGCATCATCTCTTAACTAAATTAATAATAATAATTTAGTTAAGAGATGGCACCTAACATCTACTTCTAGTAACAAATTACTTTGTATTAATTATTTAAAAGTAGTGGAATTATAGCCCAATTATTTAGGCGATTGTTTGGTGATGTTTCAATTGAATTAGCCTCTTCAAATGTTCTCTGTGTTTTATTATTAAGTGTTAATGTGTAATTCTAAGTCTGAAAATACTCTTTAAGAAACAAACTAGTGGAAAATAATTTTTTTTTGTTTTAAAGTTTCAAAAATTAAAATATAAAGTTTATTCCTCTACATCATTTTTAAGTTCCAGTTATATTTTTAAAAATTGAATGCTGGATTCATCTTACTTTTAAAATCTTTTCAACAAATGATCTAATGAGGAGATTTGGCTTTGGAAACATCTTATTCTTTTCTATGGGTTTTCATGGTTTTTAAAGTAAAATTAACCCAGAGTTGTAAAGAATATGTCTCAATGTTAACATAGTCAACTTTAACATTATTAAATTGTCTAATAATGTCATTTAAATTGATAAAACATAAATAACTGGATGAAACAGTAAAAATAATTGAATAAACCTTCAAAATTCTAGCATTAGTTTTCAATAAATAAATAATGAACTTCCTATCTACCACTGGAGGAAATATAATTCTCTCTACTTGAACATAAACCTTCTAACTCCCCAGTATTACTCTTTTTGGCAAACGTTTTTGACCCTATCAGGGTCTTCTTCAGGCTACCGTTTTAATAAAATTCAAATATTGCAAAATCGAACANCCAGGTGGCGATCGTTGCTGATGCATCACGGGAACGGTACCTGAGCGCTCACTTTGGTTGTAACCTCGAGACAATAAACATAACAATTAACCCTGTATAATTTTCAGGTTTATTTTTATTTATTGTTAATCTTACATTTTTCATAAGTTATTTAATTCATTTCAGTTTAAATTTGTATTTAGAATACTTCAAACATTAAAATTTAAATGGAATCTTCTATTTGTGGAACATTTCCTAAAAACAGTTTTAAGAAACCTGATGATGGCTTCTAGGAGTAGGCTGAAAACATTAGTTAACAAAAATATTCTCAGCAAATGTATAGGTGTGGTCGTAAATATGTACTTTATCTCTGCTGAGCATATCCGAACTGTATCATAAATAGAGATTATATTCCTGGAAACACACTTTTAATTATAAAATGTCATAATCATAAAAGTAGGAGCAATGGCCACTAAGTGGAAGTCTAGTATGAAACAATTGAAAAATTAAGTAACAGATGGAGATATTAAAATAGCTTATGTTGGTTGGATAGCAAAAAACAAAATTTACTTCAGTAATATATGATGAAAGTGATCAATACTGTACTAAAGAGTATTGTATTAACATTAATTAATGATTCTAATCAATTTGTGTAAACTTTGGCATCATAATTTATCAATAATAAATAAAAATAAAATAAAAAACAAATTCATTTCTCTAATTTCATCAAATACAGTACATATAGCTATCTGATTTCTTGGAGATCAAGATGAAAGAAGAGTCAGATGTGGTTAACATGAGAGATGGACATTCCACAGAATCTGCATGGTAATGAATAGTAAAAAACCAGTTGGATTAAAAAAGAGATTAATGTTAGAAGATATGTTGTTCAGGACACATGCAAAGTGAGCCATTTTTGTATTGGGAAGAGTGGGAGTGGGAGCAGTTGTATAATTGACTGTCAGATGATGGAGCTTAGTCAAGAACTAGTAATAGGTGTGGAGTGGTATGTGTTTACAATATGTGATGGTAGAACCCAAGCTGTGTTTTCTATTACTACAGTGTTGATATTCCTGAGGACAAGCTGGAAATCCTGAAAATAACGTAAAAGCAGCTTTGTTAGATTTTCAAAATATTTATTCCACATTTCTTGTTGAATAAATATTTTAGCTACTTAAGGAAGTAGTTTTTATTTTATTTTATTCAAATTTGATTATTGATATTTATTAAAATTTATATAGAAGGATTTATAATAATGTTTTGTTTATATACAGTAGAGCATCGATTATCCAACCCCCGATTAACCGTCATATCGGTTAACCAACCGTTCTAGTCGGCAAATTTCAAATGTCCGCTAGTGATGTGGCACTACAATATTTGGCTATGTTTTGGCTACTTTAATATTATTTTTGTTAAATTTTTGCGTGTTTTAGCTGGCATCAACAGCTCGACCATTGAAGGGAGGCCAGTATTTAAACGAGATTTAATTTTCTAATTATGAGTAGTTGTTTGTTTCGTGAGCAATAAAATAATGTAAAAATAATTTTTAACGATACAATAGCGACGATTATTATTTTTTTAAAAAATTTGTTAGGCTAAACATTGATGAAAATTCAACGCAAAGTTGGTTAATAGCTATATACTAATAAACTAATTACATGAGATATACTAATAATGTATTTTTTCCCTTCTTTTCGATTATCCGATTTTTTCAGTTATCCGACCAACCTGAGTCCCCAATTGAGTTGGATAATCGATGCTCTACTGTAAATGTATTATTATGAAATTGTAATTTTTGTATTCAATTAATAAAAAGAATTGTTTGGAATGGTAGCAGATCTGTATCAAATGCCTGTCATGAACAATTGTTTCTGTCACATTAGATAAATTTATGTCATTAATATTAATTGAAGAATGTTTTAAAAAAAAATACATTATTATTTTCACCTTGTATATAGAAAAGTTACCTTTATTGTATTACTTTTCAAATATTTGAATAGTTTAGACAGTGTATTTCTTTTTTATAATTTATCTAACTATTAAAACACTTATATTGACACACTGACTATTCTTTGTTCTTCAGTAAAAAGATTTAAAGTAAATAATTACTTCTAATGTTTTTTATAACCCTTCAGAATGATGCAGGTTTGGCAATCCATTCTCCAGATTGTATTTGTAAAATAATTGAAAAGTAATTAAGTGAAGTATTTATTACAGACAATACTTGTAATGACAAAGGTGCATTAGAACAGATCTTAGACATTATATAATTTTCATTGACACAATGTTGTTCTTCAGTGTTATAATTCCTATATCATTATATACTGTATATACAGTGGTACCTCAGGTTACGAACGCCCCAGCATACGAAATTTTCAGGATACGACATGAAATTCGAACATATTTTTGCTCCACGATACGAACAAAAACTCACCATACGACGTTACATTAGTTCGCATTTTTCATTTGTTTTTCTTACTAGAGTTATTTTTTTAATGTATTACTTGGCTTTAATTTGAGTATGTTTTTCGCGTTGGAACGAATTATTTGGTTTTACATGTAATCGTATGGGAAAAGATGATCCACCTTACGACATTTTCATGATACGATCTCAGTTTCGGAACGGATTAATTTCGTATCCTGAGGTACCACTGTATATATATATATATATGAGTTGCTAATGTCTATTTCTTTTGCATAAACAGTTGCTACTATATGATTTGGCTACATTTTAGAGCCAGGTGTATTTCCATCAATCCCCTATCTTTTTATATGGTTATAGAATTGGCCTGAGCCATTGACTGGGTGGTGATAAGAAACAGCATATGGTATTCCATGCCATCTTTGATTGGGATACTATCCATGTTCTACTCAACTTTAGTGATCTGATGAGAACCAATTTGTTCAACATGACAGAATGTAGTGATAATTATAAAAAAATTAAAAAAATATGCTAAAAGATAGTTATCTAAATGTGATTTAAGTAATTTCTTACTAACAATATGATTAAGAAGCATGATTACTTTTAGTGTGAATTAGTCTTAAGCATAAAACTTTTTAAAGAAATTTCTTTTTATTAACAGAAATATTAATGTGTGATAGACAGATCTCTATGTGTTTACTGTTAGTTAGAGAGACCCTTGGTAACAGTTTATAATCAAAACAAGACCAGGGATAATCAGTAAAAATATCCCTTGAATAACTCTAATTTTTAACATTTATGGTGTTGATATTCTTAATTTTTGATAATTGATATTTTAAAATTAAACTAAACTTGACTTTTAATAAATGAATTTTAATTTATTAACTACCATTTAATAATAAAATTATTTTTTTTTATTGCATTTCAGGATACTGCAGGTCAGGAACGATATAGAACTATTACCACTGCTTACTATCGGGGCGCTATGGGTTTTATTTTAATGTATGACGTAACAAATGAAGAATCTTTCAATAGTGTACAAGACTGGTGAGTACTGGTAACATTAATCATAAGGTTTTAGATAATTTAAATGACTATTTTTTTTTACACTGTTTTTAATATTAAAGAAAATTATTATTAAAAATTGTGTAAAAAATAGTCATTTAAATGAAGAATTAATATTTACTTCTTACACAAAACTACTACTAATCTTAACACTGCGTTGAGTAACAACAATCCACAAAACCTTTTTATAACAATCTTCACAAATGTTTTTGACCTCCACCGAGGTCTGCTTCAGGTGGTGACTAAATGGTGTCTCCTCTTGACGTTGGAACAGTGATGCCCGAGATGTAAATAATGTGCTTATTGCGTTTCACCCCTCCGCTTGTCCCAGTTCGAATTCTTCGAATAAGTATCTCCACACCTGCGCGATCGTTTCTCCATCTTTAAAGTGGATGCAGGTGTCCCCAATGTTGGCTTTATAAATCTCCCAGGCCTCCAGGTGACTGGTGTGATCAATACAAAATGCCTGTCTGGTTACTTTGGTGTTTTGGAAGTCCGCCTGAATATCAGAGTTATTTACAATTATTTACTTCTTATCCATTAAGAAAAATTCTAGGACAAATTTAATAATTGAAATAAACAAAATTAAGATATTCTATTAATTCATACCAGAAGAATTACCCTATGTAATTTATTGATTGTATAGGGTCACCAATTAATTTTTTTAATTATGGCTAAAATGAATTGGTAATGTGAGAATTTAACTGACTAACTTAAAATATTAATTATGCATTTTAAAGTATATTTTGTGTAATTTAACTCCTTAATATCACAAATCTTTTTATTAGCTTTCTGCTTAAACTGGAGTCCGTAAAAACAAAACATCACCGGAACAACTAAGTACTTTTGGACTTTCTTCATCCATCTTCAGTGTCCATGCTCTGAAGATGGATGAAGAAATATTAATATTTTATTATTTTATTTATATTTTAAACATTTTATATAAATATATTTTTTAAAATTTTGTGCAGTTCTAAATAACTATCTTATTATTTTCAGTTATTAATGTAATTTAACTGCTTAAATAACCATATTATAAGTCTTACTATATAAATAGAAGATTATAAGATTGGATAATCATAGCCACAAGCAATCTGCAACAGACAATATTAATAATTAAAGAAACTTGTTCATTCTAATCGAATATCAGTGTATTATCACTACTTGTATATCATTCATCATCTGCTTCTTATCCTATCTGGCAATTTCACATCAGTGAATCTATTATTACAGTTGTGTGTGTTAACTCTGGCATTTATGCTACAGAGGAAATTATCATAAAACTGTTTTATTTATTTAATTTTTAATTTTCATCTCTCTGCCTTTTTTAATCATGCCCACCATGGATTTGGCTGGAAGCCTGGAATTAAACTCGAGTACATAGCATACCAGGCCAAATTGCTGCGGGGACTCGAGTTTTAGTCCAGTGTTTACACCCTTGGCTGGCAGGCTGTCTTATTTTATTTATGTTAGTCCCAGTACAAGACACTGTAGTCGGTAATCTTAAATCTTTATTTCTTACTGCTCTTCACCAGGCATCTTGCATCAAATGGGGACATCAGAAAGTCAGGAAATTTCCAGAGGCACCAGTAGGAATGGTCCTCCCTCCATATTTGTAGATACAGGTGCCAGTCTGTATATTTCCCATACTGCTTCAATGCATCCCATCTGCTCATGGTGACAAGTATCCAATCTAAAAGTAGTTTGAATTGAATTTATGTAACCAAGTTACATCAATTCAATTCCTCTCTTTTATAAAATATAATTTCAAATTTCATAATGCTCTTATGTTTTAGAAACCTTTTTAAATAAATATAATTTAACAACTGTAATGGATATACTTAATAGAAAAAATATATTATTATTTTAGAATAACTGTCTTCTCCTTCAGTTTCATAAATGTTTACTAATTGACAAGACTATGTCTTGTATATAAAATCGTACTGCCACCCATTCTTACCAGCATAGAGGTATGAAGGAGTACATGTCGAGAGTTGATATTTGGCACAGAGTATTAGGTGCCCAAATCATTTGCGCATAAAAAAATCCAGACTTGTAGGTAGTCGGGGGACCAAGAACCGAATCAAAATAAAATACAAAATGGCGACCCTCTTCTACAGACAGGCAAAACAGGCACCTCACCCCACCGAAGTCAGGTGGGGAGAGTACCACCCACAGTCATTCTGAGAAGTGAACTCTGACCTTAGAACTGAATACGTAGTTTCTTCTTTGTTAAATAAAATTTGTAATCTAATATTGTAAATTTGGGAGTGCTTCAAATATGACGTTAAAACGGTTTTATGTCGTTACATATAGGGTTTTCTTTAACATTATCTAGTATAGTAAAATCATGGGACCGATAAAAATTTGACGTTATATTAGGGTTGTCATTACATCTGATGACGTTATAATCGGGTTAAACTGTATATTGTTTGTGCAAAATAAATAATTTCAGACGATACAATAGCCAAGATTAGTTTTTTCAACAATGGGAAATTTTCGTTACACACCGACAAAAATTCAACCCAGGCCAACACGCAACGGAGAGAAATTTCGAAATTGGATAAGTTAATTTCATCGAAAATGCATTGTGGCCAGCGAAGTTTGAACAATCGCATCCAAAAGTAGCAATACCAAAGAAGATTGGAGAATGAGAATGAGACCTACCTTGAGCGTCAAAGTGATTCTGCTTAGTAGATTCTCCAAGACATAGTCTTGGCCCAAATATGGTTTTGCCGTTTTACTTATTTTATTTAAGATGTGTCAAAATATTTTTATGGAATTTTCTTGAAGTCTATGGATTCCTTCATTTATATCTCTTCCGATATGAAAAATGAAGCTGTACAACTTTGTTTTTCATATTTTTGTTGTTATATTAATATAACAACAAAACTAATACAAAAAGAGTACAGGTATACCTTGCCTTACGTCGGTAATTGGTTCCAGGAAAACGACATAAGTCGAATTTACTTGTCTCCGAATCTACTTGTCACTAGGCTAAACCATAAATTACCATTATTTATTAATGCATTTTTAATAATATATGGTTAATAAAAATCTATTTTAAGCTTACAAACAAATAAATTTTAGTTTTTAATATAGTACAGAAAAAAGTATTCTAAATTTACGAATGCATGTACTGTAAATACAGAACATACTTGTATATATTTTAATATGATTTTATGTGCTTTAAACGTTTTTCTAGTGATATTACGACTTCAATATTTGTGGCGGACAGACGTAAAGTCGAATAAAATGACTTAAATTTGATTTTTATTTTTTCATATACTTTTTTGACAAACAACGTATAATCGGGAACAACGTAACTCGAAACGACGTAAGTCGAGGTATGCCTGTATATTGTATAATTATTTCTGTTCTTTTTAAATTGAATAGAAAATAAATTTCAATTGGTTTTTTTCTTCTTTGAATCTTTTATAAAGAATCAGTTTTCCTGCAACAATGTTTATATTGATAGAATCAGTTCATTTTTCTCAGTGATAACACAGCAGAAGCATAGGTATATTTTTAGAACTTAACCTGAAATAATTACTAATCCTCCAAATTATAAATATTACACCATATTTATTATAATAAACAACAAACTGTAATAATAAGCACACACTACATTGAAGGAAGATATGGCTTAGGCCAAGACTCCACTAGTGTAAAAATGGACGTAAAAACCTTTGCCGTAAAAACTTTTAATCATGTGGCCTATTTGCATTTACGTCTGGATTGCAGTGGAGGTCCGGCTAGCGAAGTTTTTACGGCAACGGTGCTGCCCCAAGTGTCGAAAGTAAATATTCTTTGCACATGAATTAGTGGAAACGAAAGCATTGTAGCTTGATTGTTCATAAAATGTTTTAGGCATCCATTCTTATAGCCAGGATGTCTCTTGTCATATAAACATAAATATTTTTGAATATTTTCAATAAATTTTTCTAAATCTATTTGAGGTCTTTTCGAAGTAGCCATGATAGAATGTACACAAAAGCTCATTTCCCGCAATTTTCGCACAATGTCATGATGACGTAGTTCCACTGACTTCTGATTGGTTGAAGGTATCGCTTTATGGCCGTATTTGCATCGAAAGTTGAATGCTGCTCAACTCGCTTTTATGCTGGTTTTACGACCTGCTCAGGTATAAAATATCATGGTCACGTGATTAAAAGTTTTTACGGCAAAGGTTTTTATGCCCATTTTTATGCTAGTGGAGTCTCGGCCTTACTGTAAATGTAAAAATGACACACTATTTGGCAAAATAAATAACATACAGCACTGTCTGTCAACATTATATAAAAATCATTTATTATGTGAGTACTTTCAACAGTATACAACTGTCCTCTTCAAGTAAATCATGTATAGAAAACATGACATTTTTCAATCGCTTGAATTTAAATGCTAGTTCCTATTCAGATTCTAACTGCTTATCCTGCACATGCATGGAATATATGGTTTATATTGTTAAAAGTACTTGCATAATAAATTCTTTTAAGTAATGCCGACAGACAGTGCTGTGCATTATTAATTTTTCTATTATTATTTGGCATGTATGATTATTTAAAAGTTATTTCTATTTGGCATTGTCACTCTTACTGTATTGTTGGAATAAAGTGTGACTGTAGCAAGTGTTGCATTTTTGTTCGAATAATAATAAAGTGAAAAAATTACTGGATTTATTCCATTAATAATTGCCCTCAAATAATAGTTATATTTAATTCCCAAAGAATAGAAATAATAATTGCCTTCTAATAGTAAGTGTCATCTAATATATAGCACGTTTACAAACTAAAAAAGTTATGGACAGTGTGCTGTTTATTAGAATAAATATAGTATGTTTTAAAAAAAGTTTTATACAAAATGAAAAATTCTGTCATACCTACTAAAACGAAGCCCTTAGTTACCACAGTGTGATCTTACATTAGTGATATGCAAATAGCAATTATCTGTTCCTCATAAGAATCCAAAATAATGAATACTGTTCTTCAAAAGTTGTTATCCGTTATTCTTAAAATTAACACAATTAAGGGAGAATAATAAATAAATGTTGATTACAATTTACCATTGCAAAAGTTCCATAATAAACAGTTATATTTAATTTTAAAATTTAACAATTAAAAACAATAAAAAATAAATTAAGCTTGATTTACACTAGATGTAAAGGGCACAAAAGCAAAAAGAGTGAACAGAGCAAATGAGGCGAGTGGAGCCAAGATTTATTTCCACCCACACTGCACACTGTGCAGGTGGAAATAAATCTTGAACAGGTATGTTTTAAATTGTAGATTGTAATTAATGTCAATTTCTCTACAAATTTGTTCTACAACAGATATCTATATATTTTTTATGTATGGCTGATAAGGATCTTGTATACCTAAATGCATACCAGTAATAAAGTTGCATTCTGATGATAGAAGTGTCATTTTGATGTTACCAGTAGCAGTGTGATAAGTCTCTGTTATCTCTACTATAGTATTTGAGATATTAGTTTCTATAAAACAAAATGTATTATATAATATTCCTTGTTTGTTTCAGAAATAGCATAAAAAAGATTTTTTTAACCCCCTTTCATTCTAGACAGTAAAGGATGGTTTATATTTGATATAACAACACGTTGACAAATCTTGTCATTCAGAAAATTACAAAATTCACTGTATTGCTCATGCTCAGAATAACTTGTGAGTTATTCTGAACATGCACAAGAGCATTCATTCCTCGAGTGAGAGAGAGTGCAATCTAACACACAATTCCAATCACATCGTTGATTAACTGGTTTGATGATGTGATAGCATCTGATGATTTTCTGCAAAATGGTTGCAACTTGTCAAACCAAGGTCACTAATAAGTTACAAATTTGTACAGATGAGGTAAATCAATGCATATTGTAGTTTTGAACAACAAAATGACAGCAGTAGCAGACATATTACATAAACTAGACTTAAGAGTATACAAAACTTTTTGCATGATCATTATGCGCTTGATCACATCCATGAGGTGACTGAATAGTTAGGGACAAGGCCTAAAATTTTTGGGTTAACATCTGAAAAACTCAAGGTGGATCCAAACTGGACTCAAGAATAGATTCTCCAGAGAGAAAGAATTTTCTTTAATAACCTAGATGATCTAGCAATCAATAATGCAACTATAAACAATTAATAGTCATTAAAGAATACATAAATTGTCATTCCTAAACCTGACAATTTTCTCCAATATCCCAATCGTAAAATTAAACAAAACAGAAGAAATAAGAACTCAAGTGAAACAAACAAATTAAAGAAACAAAAACCAAACTCAACTCCGTCAAGAGATCTTATTTGAGGCACTAGGCATAGTAACAAACAGCTATTTAATTTCAATTTCATGTCCTTTACCTCCTAACACACAATTAAGTAACAAGTAATGAATATCTAGTAATGAATACCAAGCATACAATTATCCATATCTATCCATTTCTCAAAAGTAGCGGGTTTACACGTAAGAAATGAATTTCGAGTATGAATATCAAATGCACGAGTACTGATCACTTGAAAATAAGGGATTCACATATCACTATTGCATATTTCTTCCTTTGAAATCGTGACAATATGATAGTGACATAACTTACATTATTTGTGCTATTGATCATAAAAAAAGATATTCAAACCTTATCTTCCAAATCTTTGACAGTGTGTTTTGTCCTTTGTATGTTATTGCATACTAAAAGAATCTTTAATATAATATATAGTATTTTAGTAAATTTTATTTATTCACTCATTGGCTATAATACAGATATAATTCTAAAGTTAAACTGAAAATCTGAATAAAAACATTGTAGAAAACTTAATTTGAAGAGATTAACAAAGACACCAATATAACTTTAACAGTGACATTTCTCCAACCTTATCCAAACTTTTTGATGTAATTAACAGACCATTATTCTGTGACTAATTATTTCAATAAGCAAAGTTTTGTGTATAAAAAGGAATTTTAAACTGTCAAAATAAATTTACAATTGTTTAAAAAATATTAAAATAATTACTAAATATTAGTTATTAAAATTTAAATAAATAAATAAGTAAAAATTTGAATTAAAACCTATTCAATTCTATTTTGATGCATAATAAGTTACAAATTCAATCTGATAATGAAGTTTATTATAAAAAGCTTCTTGACCTTCGTTTCTTATATTTGATTGTGTAGTGATTAAAGCCAAATTGGTAGCTATATTGGTAAAAGAGAAGAGAAAATATCTGATAATGAAAGTTCAGTATATAAAGTTTATTTAAATGTGAGGTTTACTTAACTTGTACTTAAACACACAAATAAAATAAAGTATACTTATGGACTACACGTGGTTCATTGTCACATATTGTAACTGATTAAACTCTGACATAGGTTGACCATATAAATTTTTTTTATTGCTCTGCAAACTAACAAATTGTTAATAATACTTATCTATATTTTTCGACAAAATTTTAACAAGGGATCCCTATTTATCGCCTGCGGCTTCCGTTCCATTTTGGCCTACTCTAATGGTTATTATTATTAATGTTAAGTTCTGAAAGAGCCTCCGTGGGCATTACTAGAGAGAGAATACATAAAAACAAAAGAGCCATAATGAAAACAAAACTGGTTGTAGTAATTCTGTGAAAGTAAATCCTGTATAAAGACAACTTGAAGATATACACAATATTTTTGTAAAAGGTATTCACAGGAAATGTAAAATTCATCATACAACTGCCTTACTTATTTTGGAGAATAGAAAAAATTGGACAATAGACAAAAATTTCCTCGGAAGGCAATGTCCAGTTAATCAAAGTACAATAAGTCTCACCAAAATTTGATATTTGTATGACATACAGAACAAATGAGAGGTTATCAATGACATTCTTCTGGTCCTAGTTTTTATTTTGTCACTGCTGATAGTAAAAAAGTTAACACTAATTTTGCTGTTTTCATTTCAATTAATCAAACATTATTATTAATGCATCTTTAATTATTCTGTAAATCAGTAAAATAAAAACACCAAAACTGTAATGTAATTTTCTAGCTAACGAGAAACAAAAATAGAAACTACGACCAGGAGAATGTTATTGATTTGTACATTATGCAAACCTATCAGATTTTACTATGGCTTATTCTACAGTACATCAGTAGTCCTATTACTATATCAGGACCAGTCAGGTGTTTGCTAAACTTGGGTTTCACTGTGAATTTACTTTATCAATTTGTTTTGAATATTTTTATGTTGCATCCCTTTGACTATTTTACATTATAGTTTTTCATTTACTTCCTGTATGTATTCATTAAACTGAACTGTTAACATGTAAAATTTAAATGTTATGGAAATTATACATTGTTTTTGTTATTAATTGCTTTTAATTTACAGGGTAACACAGATTAAAACCTACTCTTGGGATAATGCACAAGTAATTTTGGTCGGAAACAAATGCGACATGGAAGACGAGCGCGTCGTCTCGACAGAAAGAGGAAAACAGCTAGCCGACCAGTTGTCGTTAGAATTTTTCGAAACGTCGGCAAAAGAAAACATCAACGTGAAAGCAGTTTTCGAACGCCTGGTGGATATTATCTGTGACAAAATGTCTGAAAGCCTTGATTCTGATCCTACTCTGGTCAGTGCTTCCAAAGGTACCCGCCTCACTGAGAATCCGGCTCCACCGAACGGTGGTTGTCAGTGTTAAATCGACCGAGATAGAGCTGTTTTTTGGATGCTTTCCCACTTGTCCAATGTTGTCTCATTGCCTCGTCTTATTGCAGGCAGAACTGTTTGTAGAATGTGTCCAGTGTGAGGTGGTTCACGATTATATAACAAAAAAAAATCTACAGGATATAACAATTCCCTAGTGTCTTTTATATTAAAAAAAAAACAAAACCAAAATAACACCTTGATACAGAAATAACATGTGATATAACATATCTGTTTTGCCTTTTTCCTGTTATCCAAAAAAAAAAAAAAAAGCTATTAAACTGTGCACTTAGACTTTATAGAATGTGTTCAGTGTTTGCACAGTTTGTTAATGCATTCCATGTGAAAACAAGCACTCCAAAATATAGGCGATTATGTAACTAGAATGTAAAATATTAAAAAAAAGTATATATATATATAAATATATATATATATATATACACACACACACACACACAGATACATACACACACACACACATATATAAATATATATTGTGAGANCAGCCCCACAAATAAAAACAAAAAAAAATCCCCGGAAAAAAAACATAAGTTATCCTAAAACCCTTCAAATTATATTTACAATCTGCATTATTAATTTTTATTTAATACATGCAGCATATTATTTATGTTACCATTATTATTTACAAAAAATCATATTTGATAACAAAGAAAATTCCACAATCAGCACAAAACATATTTAGGGAAACAAAACAGTCAGGACAATAAAAAAAAATTTTTGCCGAATGTCTCTGAATATTATTTCACTCGCCATGAGACATTGCTGGAAAAGTGTGAGAGTGCCTCACTTTGGTACATAATGAATATCTGATGCACCAGTCGTCAAGAAAAAAATATATATATATATATATATTTACAGTATGTGTTGACGTATATTGAGTTAAATAATTGGATTAGTCGAGAGTTAGTTATGGCATTGCATATTTATTATTATTATTTTTCCAGATTTAAAGTAATATATCAAATATATAATTTATTTATTTAAGGTTTAATATGTTTCGACTGCCAAACTGTTATCTAGCATCTTTCATTTCCAATGGGTTAGGTTAAGTTAGGTTTATAGAATTGTTCCCTTTACGAACACATTCTATAGCTTATGTGACGTAGAAGGTGTTCGTAAGAATCTTATATCATGGTTTTCCACTATAAGAGAAGGAATACTACTTAAAAACTTGACTCTACCTTTCAATTAATTGAGATACTCTTTGATAAATAGATACGATAGTTCAAAATTTGTACTTCAGAGATGCCATATTGCAGGTTTAAAGTAAACAGAAGATAAATTTTTAATCGTAAAATACGTACGGAACATAAACTAGCATCAAAATTAATTAGAGACAAATACAGAAACCATATTTTGAGATAGTCAAACTGTTCTGGTGAATCAAAACGATGCGATAAAACAGAACGCCCCCGATGGCAGATCCTTCTTTTTACAAAATTTAAATCCATACATATTGACACATTTAATTTTACTTAACTAAAATAATATAAATCGAGAAATTAAGATTTAAAAAAGTCATATTTAGATACAACCATTTAATAATTCATCTTTTGGGTAAGAACTTCCTGAAAATATTTATAATCAAACATTTACAGTAGGTAATAAAGAGAATATACAAAGTTTAGTAACCAATGAACAGACCAATCGCACATATTGCATGCACAGTCTACTGTAACGACTACTATAGTAACTATAAGGTAATTGCGAGAGACAGTGTCTTTGTAGATATTTAAATACGACAAATTAGTTTAAAATAACACACAAATTATCCTTTATTTTCCGATTAATTTTTACATTTTAAGATTTGGCACATTAAGAAATTTCATTTATATTTACGTAGTCAAACATTTTGTAACTCTTTATTTTTATTACTCTTTAATGGTTATTTACATAGCTTTTTTGCATAATTTAAATTATGAATAATGTCAAAAAAAGAAATTCGGTATTTGTATCGGGATGTTAAATTTATCATCTCTTAAGATAATCAATAATTGAATTTCTCCTTCAAAAAATGGCAAACGGCTGCCAATAAAAATGCTATGTGCAGGATATTTCTCGGTAGCTATAATTAATGGGAGTCATTTAATAATCCTGTATGATAATTGATGTATTTTCACTGTGACTATAGTGAGCAAATTGATTCAGTTCTAGAACAATCGTATGTAATTTATTCCGAAGAAAGTGGAAAGAAAAAAAAAAAACGTATAAGACAATAGCTTCCACCTTTGACAATTTGTGTAGTGAATTTTTGCTTTAAATGTCTGTCGAGAAAATTAAAAAAAAATTATAATAAAAAAATAAAAATAAAAATACCATCAGCAGAAATGTTTGTCGGAAATGTTTTAAGTACCTTTGTATTTATGTTACGTTTTTCCGTGACGCTTCGGAAGATATCGATATGTATATTAGCAATCAGTTAATTTTAAATTAGAATGGAATAATTTTTTTTAAGACGATGTTACAAATTTTTAAAAATTTACTTTCTATTATAAAGGCAATTTTTTTTTTATTGTGTACAAATTATTCTGATGTGAAATAAATTGTTGTTAGCAACTTGCCGATACTTTCAAATTTTCTCTTGCATCATTGTGAAAAGAAAAAAAAAATGTTAACTTCTTTTTGTTAATCTTGTCAATAAATCTGATATTGTATTCTGAAATTTTAAATGTTATTGTTTGCTTAGAACACACTATAATAAAATATATATCTTTTAAAATTCCATAAGAATAGATCTACGTGATATGTTTCGTTGTTATATATTTTCTTGTTATGGCCTCAAACCTTGAAATTGAAAAATAGAAAATTATACATTCATCTTTTACGACTCTCTCTGTATGTGAGTACTAAAGACTGCCTTTTTCTCTTTTTTTTTTTTGCAATAGCAGTCTTTAGAACTTGCATGCAGAGCAAATCATAAAAGATGAATGTATATTTTAGATTTGGCCAATGGCAAATATCCTGTATATCAGCATCGGACCATACACAGAATTTTCAAACATTTTAACCTGGATCCCTTGACCATTCATTTATAAATTTGTCTTTTGACATACCATAAACAACGAGCAATTATTCATTGTGACATTGTCACAGTGCCAGGTTGCAATTTTTAATAATTTAATTTAAAAAAAAAAATGACCACCAGTCTGGGTTTATACTTAATTGGAACCTCTGGCCTCTAAGCTTTCCATATTTAGTCCTGATATTAGTAGTGTCTTGTCCCTGTACATCATACAGGGCTTAAAGAAGTCATGGCAGTGAAAAAAGTGAGAAAAGAGAGTTCACACTGAAAAAAAGCTAAAAAAGCTAATAGTTTTAAAGTGAACTAAAAGAGGCATTATTAAAAAAACACACACACATTTTGTATCAATAACATTGCATGTGATATTAGATTGATTATTAAGTGGACTGAAAAAATTAAATATGAAAATAAGCTGAGTTTATACTCCAGAAAAGTGACCAGTAAGAACTGCATTAAGCCAAAACGGGCCTGCATTAAGTTTTCATGTGCCCCGTACAGAGTTCCCACAGTTATACAGCAAAGGAAATGGAAGAGTAACATAACTACCAGAATGTGTCTCCATATAACATGCTAGATTTCAAATGCCATTTATTTCAAGGTACATTTTCTGATTTCTTGTTTAAAAAATTTGTAATTAAAAAAGATTTTATTTTGTTTAAGTCATGCAGCAGTTTCTAACTTCTCTTGTTTTCACCTCATCACACTGAATTTTCTTTGCACCTTCCAATAGCCCTTGGGCAAGACGTACCTCTTCAACGTTTGTTTTTCTCAACGGCGTTTTGAAGTCTATTAGTGGCTTCTTCGAAAATTCTACACCTAGTTTTCCTTTGCACGTCTTTTTTTTCCTTCAGTTCAACTTCAAGAGTATCAACTTTTTCTCTCTCCTGTTCAAGTGCTTTTATTTTATCCTCCTCTTCTTTTCTCTCCCTTCCTTTTTGTCCTTTTTTTGCTTTTCTTCTTCTTTCAGTTTACATTGCTTGTCCAAAAAGGCCTTGTAAGTAGCATATTCATTGTGGGCCAGCCCAAGTAACTTCTTTGTCATTGGCACCAAAAAGGCATTGTTGTATACACGGAGCCCATTTTTTACTATCAACAATGAATTCATCATTCGTTCTGACAGAAGCTCTGTCTTCTGTCAGAACCCATCTAGAAATGGAGAACCCTCTTTCAACATCTGCATTGCCATGACTGAGAGCCAACAACCTTTGACTACTTTAGCAACAGTTAGGTATTTTGGCATCCCAGCAGAATTCTTCAGGTCAAATAAGTGCTTATAATCATGTTATTTTAAAGCAAATAACTTCTAAAGAATTCTAATTTGACCCGGAAATAATTTAATTTTTTCCATTGGTATTTTTTAATCATTTTATATGGTTTTATGACACCATGTCCCATATATGTTTTGTATTTTAGGAATGTAAAAATGCAAAGAGACTAATTAGCTAATATATAAATTAAAGAATTTTCATTTATTAACTTGCATCTAGGCATGTATGTATCCAGAAAATACGTGGCATTTTTTTTATTAAATTTCTCAAAAATAAATAACAGTTGAACTGCAGGCTTTCTAGCATTCCTCAACTGTTATGTTCTGAAGTGATTCCCACAGTAGTTTTTAAACTTATGACCTTTTTCCCCAGAGAAATTTTACAAAAATCTTACCTGCAGTAAATTTTCTCGCAGCGTGAGTGTGCTGTACTCTCACAATTGTTATGTGCAACAATTGTGATTTAATAAAATAACAATATTAATATTTAACCTTTACCATAATGCTATACATTCTATCTTTTTCTCCTGGTTTCAATGAGAGGATCAATCCCAATTCATTTCAAATAGGTCATTGCAGCCATTTTGACAATGCAGCGATCTCCACGCTGTCTCCTGATCAGTTGCATGATAAGAAATTTAACACTTTCAATTTTGCAACAATTAAAATTTATGTTTATTACATAGCAATACCATTTAGTAATTGTGATCCAAACATTTATTTGGTAATTTTTTCAATATTTTTTAAATTATTAAAAATAAAATTATGAGGGTATGTTTATAAAATAATTGACTATATCTGTTTGCAATAATAATGTAAAACACACTATACTTATACTTTAGTATTTCTGATAATATTTCATTTATTTTTGAATTTTAAAATTAAGTAAAACATATTTTTTAAATTAAGTTTTATGCATTTATATCTGCAACTTCAGATAATACAAAGATATAAGAATCCATCAAAAAAAGTCAATTAATAATAATTAAAATAAAAATAAAATAAAATAAAAC